AAAAAAACTAAGAACGTAAAGAACCTAATAAAAGCTGAACCGAAAATCACAACCCAGTCCTATTATATTCAATATGATAGTTCACATACAACGTGGATCACAATATCTTAAACACAGTAATAATCGATGAGTTCTGAATTTATTACATTTTCTCAAATTAAGTTAAACTCGCGCCGGTGCGCGGGTCAAGATCTAGTTAGGATTAACTCAACTCATCTTTATCCTAACCTTTAGATAAACTCAACACAAATAAGATTAGGATTGCTTGTACTCCAAGCTATTTCATGCTTATCTCAACAGCTATATGGAACTTTTCATCCTTAAGAAATTGACAAAGTAATCTAATGAGCAGCATGAGGAACCTCCACTTCTAACAGAGGATTCAAGCTTCTCTTTCAACTCAATAGCTCTCTTCCTCATATATTCTCCTTCTTCATCCACAAGCAACCTCTTCACAGCTCTCTCCACATCTTCTTTGTCAAGCTTTCCCTCCAGTTGAAACCCAACACTCCAAACACTCTCTAAGTACCTAGCATTGACTTTCTGATCACTAGTAAAAGGCCTACATATCATTGGAACACCTTCCCCAATGCTCTCTAGAGTTGAGTTCCATCCACAGTGACTCCAAAACCCTCCTACCGCAGGATGTCTGAGAACTTCCATCTGCGGGGCCCATTTAACAATGTAGCCTCTCTCTGAGACCAGCTTGCTGAACTCCTCTGGTAAAGACTCTGTCCACTCGGGACCCGGAATAGAACCGGGTCGGATCACCCACAAGAAAGGTTGGTTGCTGTTTCTCAACCCCCAAGCCATCTCCAACGTGTCTTTGGTTTCCATTAGAGCTAAGCTTCCTAAGCTTATGTATAGAACTGATCTTGGTTTTTGCATGTTCAACCACTCGATGCAGCTTCTGTCCTCTTCAAGTAAACTAGAAGGTGCAGAAGCTGCAATGTGAAGCGGGCCTATTGGATACACAGGAATTTGTAGCTCTCGTTGCAACCGTGCCAAAGACGTGCTCTCTAGACAGTTTGCTGTATTGATGATAACAGCTGAAGCCGTTCCAGTGTTAACAATTTCACTGTAAAGCCTGTGGATACTCTCTATTGGTCCGAAAGCTGAAGTTGGTAGGTCCTTGTACCTTAAGGGATGCAACCCTGGAAACAGCTTGTCTTGCAGTTCAAGATCTGCAGATACAAATCAAATGGGTTTAGTCTAAATGGATTTGGAATATTGATTTATATAATATTCAAACATTTGGCAAAAAAAAAAGAAAAAAAAAATAAATAAATGGGTAGTGAAATCGAGGTAAGATGAATCTTGAGTACCTTTCATGTCAGTCAAGAACTTATCTACGTTGACTTTGGCAATTACAGAGCGGCATAGAAAGGCGGTAGCACAAGTAGTACTGAAGACAACACTAGGAAGCCGAAACTCCTTAGCCGCGGCGTTTGAGAAATGCATGTACTCGTCGTAGACGACACAAGCAACCTCATCATCGTCACCTTGTTCCTTCAGTAGCTGACCTAAACATTGCTTGAAGCTTGCCTCGCAGACTTGATTGAGCTTCGTCGCAAACTGGAGTGGTCCGAGGTTCTTGAGATCAGTCTCTGTTAAACTACCTGGGATGGTGAGAAAGTGAAAGTCAGAGAAGTCTTTGGAAGAGGAAACACGATTATACTGTGTCTGAAAGACAGTGATGGAGAAGCCTTTAGAGTAAAGCGCTTTCCCAAGTTGCATAATAGGAGTGACATGTCCTTGTGCTGGTAGTGGAACCAACACTATCCTTCTCTTCTTTACTAGCTTTTCATCCATTGTGTAGGAAGGAGAGACAGATATGAAGATATTACACAGAGAGATCTGGTCTGAATCTGATATATAGAACTATATCTTAAGATTTTATTTTATTTTATTTTTATTCTTAGTTGGAAAATTCAGATCTGATGGTTAGGTGAAGGCTTTAAAATCTTTTCTTAATTGTATGCAAGGACCAGCACAAGCACAAACACATGGCCAGTGTTCAAAGATTCCTTCCATGGATCTTTATGGTGTCTATCAATCCATTTCGTTCATCCCATCCAATTGTCAAATTTGAGAGTGATACACATCCAGCAAGCAGAGCACCATCTCAATCCACTTCAGTCATTTTCAGATTAGGCTGAGAGTCACACACATCCACTAGTATGATTCCATCATATCTTCTAATTATTTGTCTTGTTATAATTATATTATCATCATAATCTCATTCGTTTATCCTTTTGTTCATATTTGCATCTTAAAACTTATAAAATTCATAAAAATATATTTTCATTGATTTTAGATTGTAGTTTGGTTCCATCATTCAACCAAATCGTGGATTACCTTTATGCCTACAATATATATCTACTTTTGTCTCTTTCACAACTTTAATAGTTGGAGATTACGTATTCGAATTTGCAGAAAAAAGAAGAAGAGATTACGTATGTCTATTTATTGTAATACTAGATATTGCCCGCGCAACAGCGCGGATGACTAATTCCTTTCTATATATATGTTTCAATAAAATAAAATGTTTTTATATTAGAAAGAAAAACAATTACATTTACATATGTAGTCAAGGCTTCAATTCTAATAACAAAAAGATATATTTAAGAAAATCACATTTATCTTATCACTATATAACAAAAATGCATGAATGTAAATCGATTAACAGTTTTCTTTCAAATACATGTAAAATATAAATATAAAAAATAAGTATATTAAAATATCATAATGATAACCTAGCCTTTCGTTTGTTAGTATTGATCTCGTGCTTTGCACGAACATGTTTTTGTTTACAAATAAACTAAATTTCAGTTTTATATAACTAAAATTATATAAGACAAATTTTATTTTACTGTAAAAAAGAATATAGAAAAAAATATAAACACACTTATCACTGGATAACCAGTGAAATATAAAATTAGATTAAATTAGTTATTAAAAATACTTTGATCATATAAAAATTAAGTTAGGATATTTTTTTCAAAGCACAATGATCTTAATTAACTTCCTAAATTCATATCTAATTTGAAGCTTTTCTGTTTTACTTCTTTACATCTTGTTCTTCCTATGTTTTCCTAATTCTTACTCTATAGTTTATGGATTTGTCTTTAAACATTCAGTATATCAACTACAAATAAAAAAATGTTAACAACAAATTTATTTGTCAACCAACAGTACCACCAATTAAAACAATAAAAAATACCATGTAATAGACACACCGTTTTGTGAATCAAGAGACAAAATTCAATACATAACAATGTAAAAGGATTAAAGCATTTTATCTAAAAACAGTAGAAAAGAAAATCAACATTATCAAACACTTTAGTTTGAGCATAGGTGATATTTACTACTATACATTTTAAATATACATGACATAAATGATAAGCTCACCAAGATGACTAAAAACATCAATTGTCAAGTTAATACTCGTATTGAAATGGTTAAGCATACTTACAAATCGTTTGTACAAATGGACACATAAGAGAAAAAGTGACACATACTGATCAGGATGGTCTTGTTACAGAAATCAACCCTGAAGAATTCACAATATGTCTTACATCTATTGCACACTGTCCAAAGAGTAGGTCCAAACTTAGGCTGGGAATCCGATTCAGGCCTATACTTTAATTTGGCTTTGGCTTGTTAGATGAAGCTGATTCGTGTGGCTTTTGTTGCTACATTTCACTCTTTTTATGGTTTACCTTCTTGATCAGAAAACTAAGACCAATCGTCCAAAACCAGTTTAAAGGCGCCTTCTGCGCCGTTGAACTTTGTTCTTGTCCGAGATGAAACGAAGAGCTAACTTTTTGTACTGTTTCTTGAAGGTTTCAACATCAGCATAGATCTACACTCAGAATTAACATCTATCACACGCTTGTTTTAAACAATCGAAATTTGGATACGAACTCTTTGACTGGTTAATGAATAGTAATCGTTCTCTAAGAGTTTCTTCTCAGCAATACTCTAGCTTCCATTGTTCGTTTGAGAGAGTTTCTTTTTCTTACGGAAATTATTGAGAGAGAAAGCAACGGATTAAACTGAGACTTTGAAGTGTTTACCAAATTTAGTCCACCAAATTTTCAGAACTTGCTTCATCCACAGCCACGTAAGATCTGAAACAAATCAGCAACAGTCCAAAAAGAAAACTATGCAAAATCTCGTGCCAAGTGAAAAATATCTGATTTTAACGGACCCTAGAGACAACGCCAGAAAACGAAAGTAGAGAAAAATACAACAAAACTTGCGAGATAAGTAAGGAGTGAGGTGATAGGTGTGTATATCATTAAGAAGTCTTCCTGCTTTGCTCTGTAAGGAGTGAGGTGATTGGTGTGATCACAGCAACAATTTCTTTCCTGCTTCGCTCTGTAATGCTTTAAATCTTATGCTCATGTAACACAACATCATTCTGAACAGCAAAAGTTACAATTTTACATTGTTGTATCAAATCAAACAACACTAACCTGTTTTGATCATGGTCTGGAACAAACCTTTTTCAAAAAACTTCACGCTTCCGTTATAGAGATTGCAAACGCTTTATAAGACTCAAATAAGTATAATTTACTTGATTACAGGCTAAATCCTTTGGATTGTCGAATTTTAAACATTTATAGGAATTGAGAAAATAAAAGATCGTGGAAGAAGGATTATCGTGGGTAGTGGACTCTTTTTAGAAACCTTTTTCTACAGTTATTTTTGTAACATCTCTTGTTTTAATTGTTTTTTTTAATTTGTTATGTGGCAGAATTTTGTTAACGTGAATTAACGCGAGTTTTGTAAGAAAAAATAAGAATATAGATAGTTGAAAATTTACATTGCAGAAAAGTAGGAGAAGCTATTTTTTTAATAAAACTTTGTGTGTGAGTGAAAAATCAGTTGTTTTCAAAACTTTTTCCACATGTCAATTGTTTTTTATTTTTTTCTAAAGAATTTCCACATGGCAATATCTGATTCGCCAGGCGACTTGCGCTTTAGTATATAAAGGATTCCGAGTCGCTTTTTTTTTACCGAATTAATCTATGGTACATTTATGTGATGAGTTTTACCGAATCTAACCATTGGAAGGATGCCAGTCTTGCCTGTACTTTCATTTTACGGGAGCAGTTCCATTTCTTGTAACAATTTTGTTCGCATTGTTATGTGATGTTTACTCTTTTATATACATATAAATTTAATTTTTTGGTTCTTTGTAGGATTGGTATACTTTGTGAGTTACTTTTTATAAAGATAATATTTTGGTTGACTGTTTTTATTCACAATGTGAATTCATTTTTCAATTGAACGATGGCAAAGAGATACAAGTAGAACCTCGATCTAAAACTGCACTTAAGCAAATTTCCTATCTAAAACCCCCAAAAAGATACAAAAAAAGTCTTGTAGATACATAATTAAAAATGCAAAAGCAAGACTAAAGGCAACACTTAGAGATTATTGGGAGAGCTATTGGCCTCTGTTAAACCAAAAAGCAACATATTCACCAGAAACTGCAAATTAATTGAACGGTCATGGTAATTGTTGGAAGAGTTGGAACCGGTTGTAATCCTTGAGATCTCTCGACTGCAACAGGTGGAGGCGTTTGGCGAGCTGGCCCCAACTATTTACACGATCAAGGAGACCAGATCCAACAAAAAAGCAATAAGAAAAACCTAGAGCACATATATTAATTCTCATACTTCAAACTGAATACTTTATTGAACTTCTTTAGACAAATTAGACGCTAACTTATTTAATCAGTTCTACTTGATTTCACAACTTGTGAATCAACACTGAACAACTTCAAGAACACACGAGACTCCGAATACTCTAGCTCTAGCCGTAATCACTTTATTGCCTAAAAACCTTAACTTCCTAAACTACCAGCCTCACCTATTATAAACCTAGGTGAGCTGATCTTTAGTTTTATAGGACAACATCAAATCATCTATTCTACTTCCTAGAATCTCTCAAATTTATGTATATCCCGCCACAAGATAATTCTTCACTCGCCACGTCATCACATGAATTCGAATGACTCCCGCCTAAAACTCAGACTCGAGCAATCTTGCTATGGTTGAACACTTCACCAAGTTTCAGGTCCCAACAATCTTCCCCTTTTTGAATGTCTATTATCACCAAGCATATGTGACATAAACCACTGAATAACAACCATTTATGTAGAAATACACGCTCTAGTTAGTTAATGAAAATCCATAGCATTCATTCAACTGATCATTCTTAGCAATACAACACCAGTCACTACCATAAGAACCATACTTACTACCAAAACAAACTGACTAGCATCTTATTCGTCATATAACAAAAACAGACTCCCCCTAAATCCAACCCCATTAGAAAACAGACTCCCCCTAGATCCAACCCTAGAAAAGTAGACTACATTAGAACTCCTCGATATGGTTGTCATCACCGTTTCACCTTCATCACTGATGCTGTCACTTTGATTAGACAAATCACCGTATTCTCCCCATGCTTGGTGGCATAGACACTTAAAACCAAGTTATGAAAACAAAACTTATCATTGAAACAGAGAATACTTACTAGCAGACCGTCTGATGATGTTATCAAAGAGTCGATGAACATAACCAAGATCCTTTGTCAATGAACGGATGTGGGCTGTTCCTGGTGGTTTCTTCGGTAGACCTTGCTTTTTTATCAAGTATCATCTTCCCAAGATCAGTGAGCTCAGAGTCTTCAGGGTTGAATGGCATAGGATGCTGAGACTGAAGTAAGTGCTGAATAAGACCGGGAAATAGTAGTTTCTTTGTTTTGCCTAATACTGCTTGTTGACCCAACTCAAAAATTTGATCAAACACCATGACCCCAAAATCAAATTGCCTTCCTTCAGTGATCATGTGAATGAACTTGATTCGATATAGGGTAAGAGTTGATTGATTTGCTGTGGGGATCCAGTTGTACACACAAAACTTGAACATAATGTT